ATCTCTTTATGTTATCCGTATGTCCCTCTGCTTGAGTCACTCTATCTATCTGTCTCACTTTTGGCTCTGTTTTTTCCACTCTCTATTTTTATCCCACCTCTTTTACCTTTCCCTCTCTATCGCCCAGTGTCTTTAAAAAAACAACAACAACCGCCATTATACTCTCCTCTTTACTAAGAAAAAAAAAAGACACATGAACAGAAGCATTCTCCTTTCTGCGCACTGTCTTTCTCTTCTGACAGAATGATGGGTCGATTGAGCGATTATTTACATAACTAGAATTCTCATCAAAATTCTTGTGGCTTGGAATTCTTCTCTATTACATTGTGTAAAGAACTTTTCTCTAAAGGATATTGGGTACTTTGAAGTTTGAAGATCCCGCTCCAGAGGTCGCGTTCTGACATCCAAGGGTTTAGCTTAGATTGAGAGCTGTTGGGATAAATTTGATTTAAATTAAACTCATCCATCAATATCATGTCGAGTCCTGGGATAATGTGACTCCGCCATTGTTGGTTATTTTGTTGCCCCCAGCGGGTCGTGGCTGCTTCGTTTGTTTAACGTTTGCATATCAACGGTGTGTTTGTACGGCAGTTTTTAAAGCCAAACAGAGCTCAGCAAAAAGTGCAAACACCCCTACTCCTCCCCCTAGGTTCTGTCTGTTATATCCTCTTGTACTTTTTTTTACTGTTGTTTTCTCTCTCTCTCTCTCTCTCTCTCTCTCTCTCTCTCTCTCTCTCTCTCTCTCCTAATCTGTGTCTCCCTGTCTCCATTTACATTCGTCTCTCTGCCGATCTCCCCACACTTTCCCCTTTTTGTCTTCTCTCGCTTTCTATCTCGTTCCCTCCCCATCTCTTCTTTAGGGTCCTCTTGCCTTACAATGTTTAATCTGTCTGTCCTTATAATAGCTTTACAACCGTGTAAACATTGTCTGTGTGTGCACATGTGTATATACGTGCGTGTGTCATGTGCATGCATGTTTTTGTGTGTTGCATGCAATTTTATGTATGCGTGTGCGTCTGTGCGTGTGTGTGTGTATGAGTGTGTGTGTATCTGTGTGTGTGCGTGCGTGTGTATGTGCATCAGTGTGTGTACGTGCATGCATGTGTATGCGACTATAAGAATGTATTTCTTTCTCATCATTAAGTGACGCTTAGACTCATGAAAGTTATCGCTACTCATTCAGCAAACCCATTGCTGCTGTACTCTGGGCTTTAAAATTGATGACAGCTCTACGGACCACCTACGAAGCAAAGAAACTAACAAATAAACAGGTGACAACAACACATCCATCGTTCCCTGGTCACTTCATAGTTCACAGAGTTTGCCAAATGTCTCTGTTGTTCCTATACCAGCGCCGAGAAGGACGTCTCCGTCAGTGAAGACATATTGCTACATTGTAAAGAGTATCAAAATAAAAACAGCTGCTCCTAGTTGTTTGGAATGTTCATTGTCACCACCTAGGTATATTATTTTCCCATCTTCTTTAAACACTTTCAGAGCACCGTACCTGTTTTTACGTTGTTTGATAAACAGTATGCCTTAGAAAGAGAATATAACAACAATAATAAACACACAAACAAACAAAAAGCAGTGAACATAAATCAAGCACAAAAGAAGAAACAGAGGAATATGCCTCTTTGTGTAGGTTCGTTTGTGTGTGTGTGTATTTATGTGTGTGTTTGTGTGTGTGTGTGTGTGTGTG